GGGAGAGGGAGAAGCAGGCCTCCCGCCGAGCAGGGAGCCCGATGCGGGGCTGGATCCCAGGACCCTGGGACCATAACCTGAGCAGAAGGCTGACGCTTAACGACTGAGCCACCCAGGCGCTCCATGCACTTGCAGAGTTTTGCTGTAGCTCGCTGGTCGCAGATTGCGACTCTCGGATTGCTATTCCCAAATAAACCCATTTTTTTTCTGGTAAAATAACTGGTAGTTTTATTTTTTTTTAACGTTAATAGATTGAATCAACAAGGGTTGAATGCAAACTTGTAAAACAACTGAAACTCAAATAATGAACAAAATTTTATTTCAAATGAATAAAACAACCACCAAGAAAAACTAACCTACTTTGGAGAATGGTATTTTTGCAACTTTGGAGAATGGTATTTGGACTAAAGAAAAAAATAATTGCAAGCAAACACTAAACTCGTTAGTTGGCAGGATTCTCACAATGGCAGCAATCCCGAGACAAGGGTCTGTGTCTTCTAGGACTGAGCCAGCAAGCAAATAAGTTCTGGGCAAAGGAAGCTGGGCTCCTGTCAGGAACAGAGGGGGACGCACACTGTGGTTTGTCTGGAACTGGAGCTCTCGGTGTGAACTTGTGTTGACGTGTCTCTCAATGCATCTGCGTGTGTGGTACACATGAGTGTAGGGAGGCATGGGTGCACACTTTCTAAATCATTCCCTGTGAAATCCTGGAAGCAATGATGCTGCAGTGACAAATAGCATCCCCACTCATGTTGGGTTCTAAAGGTAAGGTGGTGGAGTGGAGGATCCGGGGACCCTAATTTCATCTGGTCCCTGGAATTCAGCTAGGTAGCTATCAAATCATTCTGAACACCTGCGAACTGAACCGGAGATCTAAGAAAAGAATTGCTGCAATTCTACAAATAAAAAAGCGACCACTTTTTGCAAGACATAATGACAAGATGGAAGAACTCACCCTAAAAAAGAATAAGAGGCAGTACCGACTGCCAAGGACCTAATCAACATGGACTTTAGTAAGATGTTGGAACTAGAGTTCAGAATGATGATTATAAAGATACTAGCTGGGCTTGAAAAAAAGCACAGAAGATACTAGAGAATCCCTTACTGGAGAAATAAAAGAACTAAAATCTAACCAAGTTGAAATCAAAAGGGCTATTATTGAGATGCAATAAAAAATGGAGGCTCTAAAGATAAATGAGGCAGAAGAGAGGGTCAGTGATATAGAAGACAAAACGTTGGAGAATAAAGAAACTGAGAAAAAGAGATAAACAAGTACTGGATCACGAGGGCAGGATTCGAGAGATTGGTGATACCATGAAGTGGAACAATATTAGAATCACTGGGGTCCCAGAGGAAGAGGAAAGGGGGTGGGCAGAAGGTATATTGGAGCAAATTATA